GTAACATATCGGACGTAAGTCCAAATACTGTCGTTATTCAAAATTGTAGAACTGAGAAAACACGATTTGAAAGTTTAAAAAAGTACTGAATGAATTATTTTTGTGAAATTGCTCCATTGGTTTGTTATAATTATTATTAATACAAACATCGAACACTAAGAAAAAAATCCTTCGATCTGATTGGATACGAACCAACGTTTTCCAGCAAACCGTGTCAGAGTCTATACCAACTACCGACCGAACTCAGCTGGATCGAAGGAACATTTTTCTTAATGTTCGATCTTTTTATTACTAATTGTAACAAACTAGTGGAGTAATTTCAGAAAAATAATTGAATATCATGTTAGTCAAATTTCGTGACATTCAATAAACCGTTTTAGTCAGCGGACGGCAGATTAGACAACATCGCATACGTTACTCTGCAGCTTGATTTTGATTGCCTCTCCCGATCGGAAACGGCGTCTTTTCCCAGTCGAGGCGTATAATATTGCGGATGGGCTTACCCGGTCGGATCGATTTGAATTAAAATCAGGGCCCTGATCCCAAAGGGAGTACTAAAGCACATGTGTTATGGAAATCGAAAACAACGACGGCATCACTATATAGAAAAGTTAGTTTTCTGCATTGACTCGGCCGGGGATCGAATTCGGGACCTCACAGATGGCGACACTTTGACAACCGGTAACAGAGAACAAAAAGTAACGAGAACGAACACTCTCCGCCCTTCCCTAGCTTTAGATACGGCACCGTGTCCCGCACATTGACTGAACGACAGCAAGGCTGTCGGCGAGCTTTTTCGTGCTAAGACGGCTGTTATATTTGAATATAGTTTTCATTTATTCGTTACGAAACTTGTACGTTAATTATATAACATAATTGTACGTTACTATTTATAATGGACGTAAATTATTCTCTGTACGGCTGTTTATGATCATCTAAATGGGATAAAGAGACGAGTTTCTTTCTTTTTCCGAAAGGTGAAACGAAGTAGGTAAGTAAAAAAAAACTTATGTTTGAGACTCATTCGGTTATTGTTTTTTTCATTAATATAGTGCAGAGTTTTTTCATTAATATAATACAGATTATATCAATATAAATACCTAATAAACATGTGTAATTATTAGGATTCTATTAATAGAATTTTAGATAACTGATTCGCATTAGAAATTTCGCTAAGTCGCCGCTCTTACCATGTAATAGATACGAGAATGTGATGGGTAACCCTGCCACTTCACGCACACGTTTGCGTGTGTGCAGATAGCGCTTGGCTGTATGTAGTAGTAGTAGGTAAATAACTTTCGACCGTTATATAAAGTGTCCGAGGTGTGCCGGTATGCAACGCCATTCGACCGCGTAGGCCGTTAAATAATATGTTGTCATATTAAATGATTTCTAGTAATTCTGTTTTTGTATGTCGACTCAAAAGTTCACGTTAATGGAGGTACGAGGTTTACTAATTTAGCCGTCGCATTGCCAGCTGTGAGTTTGTTGTCCGTGTTAAACAATCAGACTATACCTCGTTTCACGGTATCATTTTGGTACTTTTGTTAATGCTTATGACGCTATTTAGTGTACAGTCGCGTGCAATGAAATGTATACGTTCACTTTTTTCGAAAATATGTAAACATTACATATTTCAAAAATATGTAACCTTGTGCTGTTTTCAAAAACATGTAATCACGACACCGTTTTAAAAATTTTGTACTTTTATTTCAAAGAAAAGTAAACAAACTACAACCTGTGAAAAATATACGCTCCTGGTGTTAAATATATATATCCATATAATTTTCATAAATATTTGTACAATGCATTTGCATTAAAATGTAAACAATTAGGATTGTCATTTTATCATAAATATGTACCCACTTTTAAAACTACGAAATTTGTTAGATTTTAGTAATGTTTGCATCGTCTTCAAAAATATGTATACACAATGTAGTTGCAATATAATGTATACATGCGCACAGGTTGCAAACGTTTTGTGCGTATTTTGCTAGCTCGGGCGGCAACAATGTTAGTGTTATTCGGTTAAACTACCCTCAATCATAAGTTAACGGTACACTATATCCATTTGTCTATGTGGTGCAGCGCAAGTGACATAAGTATTTTCCGAGTTATCGGATTAAATTAATCGCGGACACGATGAGTAATACTCGTAATAATTCTATTGTGCCTTATCGTATAACTTCACATGAAAAGAGTAAAATTATAAATTTGAAAGAGCAGGGGCGCTCAGTTACGGATATTGCCAACGAAACAGGCATAACAGTAAGTATAATATGAGTATTATATCAATACCATAGGGAACATAAGTTCTACCTCTTGACTATGCATTTTTAAGTTACGTCTTGAAATAAAATTAAAAATATAATAGAAGTAACTTTTATTTCCATATTTTCGTTTAATAAAAACAAAACTGCGAGTGTAAATACCATAAATATAAACATAAAAATGCTTATTTGTGTGTTTTTTCGGCATCTGACGATATGTTATTATTCGTTATACCGAGTGGAAAAAAACGACGGTCCCGGCCGAAAGTCTTATTTTAAGAACCTTACATACACGCGTTTTATTTAGTATAAATGTAAAATCAAAGCACTCGGAAAATTGTCATCAAAATCATGATTTTATCCGTTTGGACAACCCTAACCCGGTCGAATGATGTAGTACGTAGTATGTAGTATTTCAAACGTTTAATTGGCATGCACTCTAGGTAAATATCTTTACTATTGACACATCTTGTTCCACTGCTCCGCTACTATTGCTATTGAAAAAAAATTCATATGAGATAGAGCTATAATGTTACAAACTATCTCTTTCCTTCACGGTTTTGACGTTTCTTAAGTTAAAAATTTAACGTTTATGTAGAAATAAGAGCGCGTCATAGCGAATGTTATTGCATTATTTGTTTTACTACATTTTTCGTAGATGCCACGTTTTTGTCGCAAGTGAGCGATATAACATTTTGCAATTATCACACTTATTAATTATTATATATATTATTATTATCACACTTATTAATACAATCTGTTTGTCATATCAACGAGTTTCTTTAAATGCTATGTATACATCTAAAGAAATTCTTTGTTTTGACAATGTTAATGTTGTCTATGTGCATTATTATAATAATATATACTAAATAAATACCTTTTATATTTACTTTGCAATAAAATGTAATGATTTAACTTTACAATTAAAGACAAAAGAGTGATTACAATTAATAAAATCGCAACTTGATTCTGCAAAGCCTTGTATTATTATTATACCCAACGACTGCACAGACACGGCAAATACATTTATTTTATAAATATAAGATAATTGACTAATTTACTATAATCTTGTATTTGTATACATTTTATTGAAAATGCATAGTATTAAATATTTATGAAAATGATATGGATACATATGTATAGTTAACACCAGGAGTGTATGCATTCCACAGGTTGTAGTTTGTTTACTCTTCTTTGAAATAAAAGTATACAATTTTTAAAACGATGTCGTGATTACATATTTTTGAACAGCACACGGTTACGTATTTTTTAAATATCTAATGTAAAATATGTAAAATAATTTCGAAAATAAGTGAACGTATACATTCATTGCACGCGACTGTACACACGTGCGCAATCGGTGCAGGACCCCGATTCAGAACTCTTCAATATTTTAACCGAATCGTTCGATTGGATATCGTTCTCGAATCGAAGGGCGCTTTCCTACATTCCGAGTTAAACGTTCGATTCTGGGGGTCTACTCTCGATCTCCGTCCGACATCCGTCCGAAACAATTACTGCCAAATAAGCAATACTTGACCAAATGAAAAGACGCGTGATGCGAATGAAGCTTCATACTTGATACTGTCTTTTAATTTTGTCGAATGTTACTTATTTGACAGTAATTCTTTCGGACGGATGTCGGACGGAGTTCGAGAGTAGCCCCCCTGATTCGGATACGATATCGTTACCCAACAGCATTTACGGAAATAGTCGGTGAAATAGATTATAAGAAAAATGAAAAATCCTTTTATATATGCATTTTTAAGACTTTATCGGCCTAAAATATAGAAATACGGTTAGTCTGCATTAAAATAAATTAATAAAATTGAACAATATTAAATAAAAATCCATATTATATTCTTGTTTTATAAACATTAGGACGTTCGATAATTTTTATTCGATAACTGTTGAATAATTGTAGCCTTTGCCGGGCGAGAAGTTCGAGTAATCGTACGGGTGTGACGTCATTTCGGTCCGGTTTCGAATACGACAGTTTGACTCAATTTTTTTTTGTTTGCTCAATTCGGTTATTGTGAATAAAAATGAAAAGAAATCGCACGATATCAAATCGAATCAGTCGACAACTGAGTTATCGTAAGTTTCTGAATCGACCCCCAGGTGCGGTTATTTGCTTTTTTAACAAAGGTATTATTTGCGTTACTAATGAATCGCCATATTTATTACTTAACTCGATTGTTTGTCAAATCTTGTAATTAATATCGATTAATCGTTCATTGTTTGTAATATTATAATATTTGGTGAATATGTGCTAACAGCTGGTTACTACGTAGATAGCTGATACGTTCCTTTTATATAAATATTTTGAGAAGGAGCTTGTGTAGGCAAGTACTGCCTCACCTATTTCTGCTCCCGAGCAGTAATTTTTAGTTTAGTACCTGTTTTTTATGATTACATAAAAAACAGGTTTACTATAACGATTTTAGAGACAGAGCTATCTTCGTTTGCCTACAAATTCTGTAATATAATCATGGTGAAATTACAGGCACACGGGACTTGCCAACTTATGTCTCAGGGTGACGGGCGCATTGGCAGTACCCCTCAGGTCTTTGCGATTTAAAGCTCTGAGTGGCACTGCAACTTCTATAGACAGGCGTGTAGCTTACCATCAGGCGCACGACTTGTTTTTCCCGTCACTTGATATTATAAAAAAAAATGCGTCACAGTGTAAATCTATGTAGTGACTAAGCATAACTAACCCGGGGCTAGGTGTGGATGTGCGGCGGCACGTTGGAAATCGCCCCATGCTCGCACGTGGGACATGTTTTCCGCAAGACCACGCCTTACTCCTTCCCCGGTGGAACCGGTCGAGTAGTGAACCACAACAACGCGCGTCTCGCCGAAGTCTGGCTCGACGAGTGGAAGCTCTTCTATTACAACATTAATCCAGGTTTGATACTGCATATTACAGGCGTTTTCTGAACTCTGTGATTATTCGACGCTGTCCAATCCAATTGCAGTTTAAACGGTTCGTATTAAACTCCTTCTATTACGTCAGGAATTATGCCACACACTGTCCGTACGCATGACCACATAAATATAAAAAAATCCCCGATACAAAACAGTGTACTTAAAAAGTTTAACCAAGCCACCATCCGTAAGCTAACAACTCGTTGAGGCTTATTTAATGAGCTCGAACACGATAGTTCTGTTGTAAGGAGTTGAGGAACTGTCCTGGTTGCGGCATCAGATCAAGGTTACCATATTATTGCAATATCATCAGATTTCTGTAGTATACCAAATTTTAAGTACATCGGACAGTTGGAAATACAATAAATATTCATTCTATGACTGTATTATTATTATTATATGGGATTTTTTTCCCATTTGTCGCTAGTGGGAACAAAGCCAGTGGTGACAACTGGGAATTAGCGGTGAAATTACAGGCACATGTGTCCCAGGTTGACGAGGGCAGTGCCCCGATCTTGTGCTTTAAACCTCTGATCGGCACCGCAACTGTTATGGACAGGTGTGTCTATTACCACCAGACGCACGACTTGTTCATCTCGCCACTTGGTATCTTAAAAAAATCCATTTGGGATGGCACTGACAGACACCAGTGTACACGGAAAAGCTTCAAACTTAAAACCCCGGCGGGTATTAAAAATAATATTTTCATTCCAATGTATCACCTGTATAACTCGAGACAAACGTCTTTCCATGCATAATGCGTGCGGACAATTCCATCAAACAAACGACAAAGTCATATATTCCTGATGGTTTTAGAATACTTTACTAATACGCTGGAGGAGGTGAGATACCACAATGAAATATGAGGCGAAGACGTAAGTATACCTATTTTTGCAAATTGCATGACGTTGTTGGTCTATGTTTTGATCACAATATTTATATTTTAATCGTGTGTTGCTTCATTGTCATTCATTTGTATTTCATGTATCATATCATGCTTCATATTCTAACTGCGCAGTTTTAACAGTAAACACTAATTGGGTTTATAACAAAAAATTACAAATTGCTAAACTACTAAAAATAACCTTCTCTGTTAACTTGTCTAATCTGATAAAACATTATTAACACTTGTGTTGTACTTTTAACTTAATTCAAATTGTTTGTAGTAGTCAAAATTCGATCTATAATTGAAATAACGAATAAGTGAATAAAGTACAGTACCGGCACGCTATGATGGCCGTTTTTTAAGAAATGAAATCTAATACAATCGTCACTTATGGGATCGCTGGGCAACACATCTTCTACCTCCGGCAAACTCGCGTCAAAGCGCAATGCAAAACAAAGCAGTTTAGAATTGACGATATATTAAGTAAACATTTTTATTTTCGTTTTATTAAATACTAATAATAATACTAGTCATAAATCTAAAAACTACTTAAGATGTGACTAGCATTTGATTATATTTTTACGCATAATGACTTGAGATTTGACCTCACTATTGTAATCTGTCAAAACGGCCATCATAGCGTGCCGGTACTATAGTCAAAATACATCCAAGATATTGTTAAATATAATTGATTATTTCACGAGTTTCCTTTGTGTATATAAAAAAAGGCTTTATTTCTTACGACATAGGAGCGCTAAACGTACCGCTTGGCGACGTGACTGAACGGAAAGCATTACGCGAGAGACTGAAGTGCAAGTCTTTCCGATGGTACTTGGAGAACATCTACCCCGAGAGCCAGATGCCTCTCGAGTATTACTACCTGGGAGAGGTGAGCGTTTTCTTAATTGAATCATTATAATATTAAGTTTATTTGAATATCACGATGTTTTACTATCATAATATTAAATTACTTTTAACCAACTTCAAAAAAGGAGGAGATTCTCAATTCGACTGTATTTTTTGTGTGTATGTTTCGCGATTACTCATTTTGTGAACCGATTTTGATGATTCTTTTTTTTTTTTTTTTGGAATGAGAGTACATCAGTTATTAGTCCCATTTAAATATGAAGAAGATATTACATCTCTTTAAGGGTAGCAAACTTCGGGATGAATTCGGTTTCGCACAGTTTGAGGTAACCGATTGTTAGCTTTTTAGTTTCAGTTTGTATGTACATATAAGTAAAATTTGAAGTCGGTTGCTTTTTTTTAATAAAAATTATTGTCATATAACTTGACTACTTTGTTATAATTATGAATACAAAGATCGAACAGAAAGGAAATTTCCTACGATCTGACTGGCGAACCAGGACCTGACCATACCTGTTACCGCTCTCCCACTTGAGCTAACGGAAGCACCGGGGTTATCAGATCTTACGAATTACCTATGATGATAGGAATAGAAACTATGAACTTGACAGCTATACAGTAACTCTGAGTTGCATCCACATCATCCAGACAAGATATCGTCCTGACTTGTTTAATATTCCTATCCGGTTTATTAAATGTAATTTCCCTGCGTCTGTTTTCGATCACATACAATTCGAATGTCTTTAAGTGGTTATTGGATAGGTATCTTGTGGGCAAGCTCGTTCCATTGTAGACACGTTTCTCATCTGATATTAAACGACCCCAAATTGTACTTTTCGGGAAACACAGATGCCAGTAGAGTATTCCATTCCTTTGCCGTACGATTCAGAAAGGATGAAGCAAAGCGCTTAGTGCGATCGGGTGGTATATCAACGACGTAAGGATGGAGTGTTTCGGACCTTCTAATCGTGAGTGTGGAACTAAATTGAAAAGTTCCTTGGCACACTCCCCGAAATGTACCCTATAGAAAACCCACAAGCAGGCTACTTTTCTGGGTTAGGACAAGGGCTCTGAGCAAACTTGAAACTAATTGACGTCGAAGAAAGGACATAGAGAGTTGGAAGACTAGTAACTGCCTCCGTGGCCGAACGGTTACCATGCCGGACTGCCACGCAGAGGTCCCAGGTTCGATTCCCGGGCCGGGAGAAATGTTTGTATGGCTTACATTTATTTCTCTCGTGAGTTTGGGTGTAATTTGTGGTTGTCTATGTGTGTGTCCATGGCACCCGCGACACAGGGTTTCCCTAGTGCGGGGCCATGTTGAGTGTGTGCGTTAGTGTGTGCGTTAACCTCATGCACTCTGACAATAAACCATTGAATAATCTTTTCCGGTTATGAAAATATCATCGGTTTCAATTTCAGATCCGCAACGCCGAGACGTCGAATTGCTTGGACACTCTCGGCGGCAAAGCGGGCCAGCCGCTAGGCATGGGCTACTGCCATGGTATGGGGGGTAATCAGGTACGTCATACGTTCTTATAGACCTGGTATATTTTTTTTCAATTTCTTGAATCTCTTATTACCTTTCATGGACCTCTTTGCTCTTACCATGATGCCGACTTTTAAGGTACAAATTTTGAGCTTGAATTTCAATTGTGTGCAGTCATAATTTCAAATTTAAAAGTAACATTACCATGATGCGTCTCAAAGAGGTACTACGTAAAGTGTATGAGGTTCAGGACCCCATATGTTACCGTTGGTGTTAAAGTGACTAATAATAATAATAAAGCAGGGGATAAATCCAGGACCAATAGTCTGTATTAGATTGCTGCTTTGTTACAATCACCAAGTCTCATTCCAAGCGTGATTAAGGTAAAATTCGGAAATGTCTATATACGACATGACTACCGTCTCAGATATACTAACTACGATCTCGATGGCCTAGTGGTTGCCCTTCGGAGTTCCTGGGTTCAATTCCCGGTAGAAACAATTTTGAAAACGAACTTTTCTACATTGGTTATTTCGTTACTCTAGTACAAATAATTCCCTAGTTTGAGACCAAGTACAGTACAATTATTTTCTTAAAATCTTTCGACAATCTTCGTGTTTCGAGTGTCGTCGGATTTCTAATAGTTGTCCTTTGCACTTGGAGACCGCGGACGCACTCATTCGACTTGAAAATATGTATTTTAATTATCATTATTGTGGTTAAGTTTTTTCAGTCGGTGTTTCGTTGCAAGAGCAAAAGCGCCATTTTGATTTTTTTTTCTAAGGAAATTTTTTCATAATTTAAAATTAACAACTTAATTTTTTTAACGAAAATAGAATTTAAGAACAGAACGTAAGTATTTGAAAACAGTCGTTGGAACCTAGAACATGCTACCAGAAAAAAATCCAAATGTCGCTTTCGCCCTTTCTTCAAAATACTGACGATATACAGGGTAACTGTAAAATACTAACAACCTCGCAGAACTATGTATATTAATCGTAAATAATAACTTTACTTCCAAGACGTTTTACAAAACAAATTTACCAAAAATAAACTTTTCAGTTTTTGTTGTACAGTCAAGAGCACATCAAGGTTGACGCTTTGGACATTCGACCGTTTTTATTGCAAGCGGCATAGAGTTAAATTTAAACCTTTAGTGTCAAGCTTGACATGCTCTTGACCCTGTACTATCTGACATTTTTTAGATCCATATTTGGTAGTAAGTTTTTAGTAGCAGAAGAGCTCCTTGTGAAAGAGTTTATTCAGGGAGGTACTGCCTTACCTATTTCTGCCGCCAAGCAGTAATGTCACCATTACTGTGTTCCGGTTTTGTGGCGTAAGGGACTGGGACTTGTGAACTTATGTCCCAGGGTGACGGAAACAGTGGCAGTGCTCCTCGGATCTTTGCGATTTAAAGTGGCACTACAAGTGTTACGGACAGGCGTGTAGCTTACCAGCAGGCGAACGACTTGTTCGCCCGTCACTTGGTATTATGTAAAAAAAAATAAGTTCAAAACCTGCATATATTTATTTTTGTATGATAGTAAAAATTCATGAATTATTAAAAGTCATGGGAAAAAGTTAGTGTTTATGATTTTAGTAATATAGCCATGCTTGGTGTGTTAGTATTTTACAAATTACCCTGCATATTAAAAATTTACTTTAATAACCGGAAAAAGATATAATTTTCATGTAAAAAAACAACTAATTTAGTAAATTTTTTGTTAATTTGGTTGATACATTTTTTATACATAGAAATCAAAACAAAGTAACAATGAATTACGTAGTTCTGAATTTAAAATGTTATGACGATAAGTCTAATAATTACTATGAAAATTTGTATTTGAATTTATTCGTAAATCCGAAGGTTGCCAGGAGATATTTAGAAAATAGTTGTTCTATAATTATTTGTGATTTGTAGCCTGTAATTTTATTAAACAACACACTTAAGCAACCAGGTAAGTATTAAATAAAGTTTCAAAAGTTTAAATGGTTCATTGAGATAATGTTTACAGTTGAAAAAAAGAAAGCGAAATAAAAAATCGAAAAAGAAACTTAATATACGACACCAAGTAAGTATCGGGTCGTTGACACACCAGTCTCACTGTTTTACTTCACAGAACCTGTTTCTTTCTGTGAACCTGGTATCCTCTGTCACGCTTTATGCACTGTTAGGAAGCTGGGATATGTGATATTTACTTTCGTGTGAAATGGATTGCACAAAATAAGGGAGTGACGTGACAAAACTAATTCTTGTTTTTACTTTATTTAGTTACCTTTTTTTGCTGCCAACCGGTTTTTAAGGGTGCTGGTGAAATTACAAGCACACGGCTTGTCAACTAATGTCTTAGGGTGACGGGCGCGGTAGCAGTGACTCTCAGATCTTTGCGATTTAAAGCTCCGAGTGACACTGCAACTCTTATGGACAGGCAATGTCGCTTACCACCAGGCGCACTTGTTCGTCCCGTCATTGGTATCACAAAAGAAAGTTTTATATCATGCACTGATTTAGTGTCAACATCCTTTCCTTCTTCGGTGTATATGCTAGACAGTCAGGAACATATTTTTATTACATAAAATAATATGCTCATTTGACTTTTTTGATCTGTCACTCATCTCCGTCCTTACCGGTAAAAGAAAACCTGCACGATAACTGCACAGCTTTTCCTCTGTTCACGGGGCGTGCTAGCTTATTAATACATTTCAATACAGTGCCACTGGCAATAGTGGCGTTTCTGTACAAAATAAACTATTTATATATATCGTGTATTATGACTTTGGTGGCCCAACGGTTTGTAATTTGGGCGGTGGATAATGAGGCCCTGGTTAGACCAATTTGGGAAACTTGTCTAAATTGGTTCTGGTCTGGGTATTCTGGGCACATTATTACATTATACGGATTTATTCAAATGTTATGTTGATTTGGTTACGCATGCGTTTCTATTTAGTTTATATACAGTTTGTTTACTGTGTAAAATATTTGTCAATTTTGTATGTCAAATTGCAAAGCACCTCTAGCGGTCAAGAAGAATTAAGGACGCGTTCCCATTATTTCGTAACGTTTTATTTATCGGTGGACGACTGCCGCTTTTACTCCGTTCTCATATCACGACTGTCTATCGACTGTCTATCGTGACTGTGTGATGGACCTTTTTTTATCGTGGAACGACTGTCGTGTCTAACTAATCCCACTGGTTCATGGCAGCCGCCTTGTCCTTTGCACGACAGAATTGTTTGATGCACAGCCGAGGGCGCGGGGGACAAGAGGTGAGAGTAAGGAGCATGACATGTACAGACAACGATAAATAAAAAATGACGATAATGGTAGCTGCGATTATCTGTCGTCACGTCAATAAAACGTCACGATAAAAACGTGACTTTTATTTATCGTCGGACGACTGTCGTTCTAGCTCTTCCCATTGTCTTGACAGTTTGTTGCGGTAACGTCAAATACAGAGTACAATAAAAACCGACTTCTCAGTACAGAGTACTAAAAAAACCGACCTCAAAAGGTTTGCCACCCTTAGATATGGAATATTTTATTGTTAAAAAGTCGTGAACGACAGTTAATCGTGTTATACTATAGATGTGAACAACTCAATTTAAATATACAAGCCATGACACTTGTATATTTAAATGAGGTTTGTGAAGTTAAGTGTGAGGCCAGACGAGCGTAATTTTGTGACTTGTGAGTTGCGTTTTTTTTGCGCTCGACCGAATTTGGGTTGGAGCGCCAGACGAACGTTTTTTTGATTCAGCTGCTTTTAAGCGTTTATACGAGGTGTTTGTGTCGTAATAGTGTAATGGATCTATTAAAAATAGTATGCATTTATGAAGCATTAGAAGATGGTGTTCGAAAAAGAAAAAGAAGCTAGGTATATCCACGCAATATAATACGATTAAAGTATGGGCAGTTTCATATATTATATACAAGTTTATGTGAATATCCAGATCAATTTGTTAAGTACTACCACATGCCAATAAATGTTTTTTTTAAGAATTATGTTCAACCTCGGCGATAAAGTTTTCCGTATCGAACATATATTACATATATAGATATTCACGCGCATCCTATACCAAAGTGACCTCTTCCTTCACTCCTACCTCCACCCGCGCCAGCCCGACCTACGATGCGACCGAAAGTCGGTCGTCATTACGCCCGTGAATGGCAGATAACTCATTTTGCGTCGTCGTGTGAAATAAATCGTACTTTTATATGAAACCGAATGCAGCGCAAACTGCGCAACTCACAAAATTGCGCTCGTCTGGCCCCACATTAAATTGCACGACTTATTTATTTAAAAATTAAATAATATTTTTTTTTACTTTTTGACATTGGACTAGTATAAGATGTATACTTATAGATTGCAACCCCTACCAGGGTACATACGAAATACATTTCTTAGATATACTGCAGTTAATAATACTTCGTGCTGTCGATTGCATCCCGTATTCAGGTACTTCACTTTGCATATAAGTGTAAATAAAAGTTTTACTGGGGTACGAACGCATGTTGCTAAATCCACGTAACAGAAAAATATACCTAATTGTAAATAGCGAATACTGGAAATATTGGTTTCGAGAAAACATTACAAACGAAAAAATACAATTGGTAAAAGATCTTATTAAAAATAAGTCATTAGTACAGCGTTGATTGTTGTTCAGGTGTTCGCGTACACGAAGCGGAAACAGATTATGTCTGACGACAACTGCTTGGACGCGGCTAACCCGCGCGGGCCCGTCAAGTTGATTCGCTGCCATGGCATGCGAGGCAATCAGGAGTGGACTTACGACGCCAAGGTAAGGCTACCTTGAATACACTTTAATCTGTAGAATTGGTTGCAAAGGGTTAAAGTTTACTCGACAAATTGACCGTTGCTTTCTCGCTGTGAATAAAATGTTGCAGAAAATGTCTTTGATAACTCACACTTATGGTCCTTCGAGCCGGATATTTTGAATCAACTTTGTAGAGGAAAGAAAAGTTCTGATCCAAGCATCGTACTCTCGTTCTCAGCCCGACACCCGTCCAAAACAATTACTGTCAAATAAATAATACTCGACAAAATTAAAGGACAATGTCAAGTATCAAGCTTCATTTTTAACAAGCGACTCTCGACGACTCGCGACAACACATGACAGGAGTTCCCCTGATTGGCCGACAAGAAGCCTTTTCTTCCTTGTACCATAGAGCAATAATAAGAGTAAGACTGCTAATCTCCATACTATATATAGATCGTAACTCCAAAAAAGCTCAAAATTCCGTCTTATGTTCCTAGATGGCGCTGATCAATAACCTGGAAGTAGTTTACATTAACTAAATGGCTGTATCAGTTAAATCTTCTTGTATGAAATATAAGAAGTCAGTTTTGCTTCCTTGTATTAATCATGAGCTAAAATTATTTTTCGAACTTTGACAACTATGCGTATTAATAGATGGCATTGTGTGTTACAAACTAATTTATAAATTAATGCTTCCTAATAAGGATAGATGGCGCTAATCCTAAACAAAAAAAATAACTGGGACTATCCATAAAAATATTTGCAATAGCGCCATCTAGTTGTTTTTTTTTGTTATCACCAGAAATCCGAGTAGCTTTACTCGTCGCGACATCTGGTGTATACTAATAGGTACTAAAAACTCGACAACGCTGTTTTGTATCGCGATGAGCAGTCGTCTTGAATTATTGGTCCACACTTGTACTAACATTTTAAAGATATATAGGATAAGCTCTTATGCATCTCAGCAAGTGCTAAACGGCCCACTCTATCTCTAATTGACGACCTGAGTTCAACCGAGACTTTTGGGAAGTGTACTTTTCTAAATTGATTCTGGAGACAGATTCGTTCCTCCGGTAAACATACCATAGGGACTTTCCTGGTTTAAAGCCACGTATTAACATGCTGGCCCGTAGATTCACTCGTTGTACAAAAGAGGTGTAAGTTACGCTTTTTAAAGCTCAATAAGAGTTCAGTACAATTACATCTTCAGGGTGCTATTGGAACTGCCACCGTACTGTAATGCGTAGTTTACCGAAACGCGAACAGACGATTTTTATGCCATCACGCGAAAAAAGGTGTCGTCTCTGCTAAAGCGATTGCGTGACAGTGGCAATGGCATCCTGAAGATGTTTGCCCGTCGTTTTGACTGTACAATTTTACAGTTTTGCCTAAAGACCACTACAGGCCAAATTAAGTAATGATTTGTGCATTTTCCGAATATTAAAATTAAAATTTTTGTAGTTCAATATTTTAATTTTCTATCACATCTATCAGTAGTCCGAAATGACATTTTCCAGAAATAACGTTTGGTCGAAATTTCATAACCTCGAAAGTAATTTTGAGAGGAAAATGTTTTTTCTTTTAAACCTAACCTAACCGGGCCTAATCGTGTCTTTGCGATAAACATTCAACATATCCTGAAAGAACAACTGTTTCGTTATAATTCGGTTTTCGGTGTAATGAACATTCGAACAAACGTTATTTCGGACAAAACAAAATTTCGACTTTGTGATAGGTTACCCAATCATACTAACATAGTTTTAAGGTTTTCTTTTGTAACTAACACCATTATCTTATGGGCTATGGCCTGAAATAAGTTGTTTATTATTATTATTAGTGTTGTCGTGTACATTAGTAACCGGTACACGTTTGACGTATTTCAGACGCGCACGATAAAGCACACGAACACGAATATGTGTTTGTCGAAGCCTGAGGCGGCGGACGTGTGGAAGCCGGTGCTGCGCGCTTGCGACCACAGTCGCGGGCAGCAATGGCTCATGCAGGCCGACTTCAAATGGCAGGCGCGCAAGGACCGCCAAGTCGATGGCAGCTAGTCCTAGCCGATACAAGGTAATCGAATATCAGAACCGTACTTTATCGCTACCTTTAGTAGCAGCAGAGCTCCATGTGAAAGAGTTCGTCCAGGGAAGTACTGCCACTTTATCTATTTCTGCCGCCAAACAGTAATGTTAGCATTACTGCGTTCCGGTTTTAAAGGGTATGGGTGAAATTACAGGCACACGGGACTTGTCAACTTATGTCTCAGGGTGACGGGCGCAGTGACAGTGCCCTTCATTCAAAGTTCTGAGTGACACTGCAACTGTTATGGACAGGCGTGTAGCTTACCATCAGGTGCATTATAAAAAAAAACCTAGAGCGTGTTATTTTTAAAACTTAAAATAAATAAAAAAATACAACATTTCAAATTGAACGCGGCCATTAGAAACTAATTAAAAATACGTTCAAATAGAGTGAATGACGAGAGTGAAGGAAATGAATTAGAATGATTAAGAAAAAAATTACACAGATCTGTTGCGGGCAGCATTTTTTTTTTTTTTTTTTTTGTATTTTTTTGCCGCATCATGTAATACATTTCATTTGTAACACAATATAAAACAAAACACCAGCCAAAACAATGTCCAGTAATGTTTAAAATAAGTTACATAGGATGTTGAGTGTATTTTTTCATAAATAAAATTGAGTTCAAACAGCACAGTTTTTTTTTCATTTAAAAATATTTTGTTTTGGTGTCAAGCGAAAGGCGGATGCGTTGAGCGTGTGTGTATTGGTGTTATGATTTACTAATGCAATCGTTTTCTTATTTTCAGGAGTGACAACGATAGACCATAACAGTCTTCCCCCTCTCGTTAGATATCAGATTTATTCCTTATTCCTATATCTAAAGTTTTATATCTATTAGGTGTATCGACGTGAGGATTTGTGAATCGTTGACAATACATTAAATTTGTTGTATCCCCGTAACGTTGCTCAACTCTAGTATTGTCTAACGCGTAGTGAATTTTTTTTATGGTAAGCCGTAGACGTCCGACAATCTATGACCGATCTTTTGTCGGCAATAATTAAACATACAACTGTGACACATCGGGTTAATTGTGTAGAAAAATCGTTTATGATCTGTGCACATTGGACATATATTGAAGCGTCATACCTGACGAAACGTATTTCAGATTTGTCGCGTTGGTAATAAAATTTTCGTCAATCAACGAAAAAAATTTTTATCACAAAACTGGCCAATCAATTGGTAGCATGTAATTTTGTAAACTATCATAAAACCTAATATAGGTGCGTTTTTCCCAATACATTTCTAACCTACAAACAACAAAAAGTCCGGCAATAATTTACGCAAATAAATATCACATGACTTGTTCTTAAAGGGAAATATACACTAGACGATTTGTTAAAACGATTGTCGAACCAACTAAGTCAGACGTCTGCGACCTACTAAAAAATGTCTAGGTGTATTTTATTAAGAAGAGATTTTATTAAAATTTTAAATTCAAAGCTTTGTTAATACATCTTACGTAGTAATTTCAGCGAATGAAATTTATTTAGTGAATGAAATTTGATTTCTGTTGAACAATGGACCTACCTAATAGGCTTTACGTAATAATTTGCAACTAAATAATTAGTGGCTTTTGAAAGATCTATTTTGATGTTAACTACATAATGTTGCGGGTAGTGCGTAAGGGAAATAAATATGTACGTACCCATATTTTAAGTGAACATTCGCGGTGCTATTCTTCGCCACTAGAATTTAACTCCCTATCCTACTCATATTAGTGCGGCTAGAGGCACGCTCAGTGCCATATCCATTGCTAGCCAGACTTTGTTTTTGCCAATTTATTGTAACATTATCTGTAGACATTAGGGCCCTGTCTTACAAGTTATATCTGGCCGTTGGTGACAATAATATCCGAAAGGACAATCCTACATTAAATGCGTTGTAAAATTAAAATAAGCTGACAGCGTCTACGTTATAACGTATATAAGCTATGTGTTTTATAATTCGCCTTGAACCGGTTAGAAAATAATCTATCCGGTTTAATGCGTTTTCTTGTCGATAAGTGTGACGATTTCGTAAGGCTGCTAACAGATCGAAGCCGAGACCTCAACTGCGTGAAGTTGATAACGACTGCATGCAGCCAACATCGACTGCATGCAGTTAATGCGTGGTTGATTACGACATCACGCATTAACTGTAAACATGCAGTAAACTGTTAGCAGTGTAAAATCTGCAATAAGATGTTGGTCTTTTAACTAAGATGATTAACTATGGCTTCAATTTTTAAAAGCAATTTCTATCACATAATAAATTGTTATCAATTGACGTTACAGCAAAAATGAGTGTCGCTCAACGCTCAAATTGACTTGTGTGAAAAGGCCCTTAGGTAGGTGTAATTCCGTTTACGTTTTCTTCCGAGATTTATTTTGCTATACTCTTATCTACTGCCATTAGAATGATGGGAGTCTAAATCTCCCAAAGAGGAATTTATTTTCATATATACTTATGTGATAGACATTGGTCTGTGTTGATGACTTGTGGTTATTTTGTACTGTCACTCGTGTTTGTTGAAATTTCACTTTGCACTGAGTGCTTTGCGCTATTACGATATGAAAATTCACAATCATGTGTGTAGTTATCTACACGTGTTACATGCGTCTAGTAATATTTGGTTTATGAATGCATTGACACTTCCAATTAAAACGTTAATAAAAAAAATATTCTTAAATAATATTTTCATTTAGTTTCAAATGCGTTGTGATTGAATGAATTTTTATCTCGTATGCGCAGTTTTAAGTGTGAGATTATTATAGATAAGGTAACTTCGTACATTACACGCGAGTATTTGTTATTGTTAAATCTGCAAAGATAGGAAAATATTATTTAGCTGCAATTGATAGAGTTTTATGAACTACTCCCACAACACATTTCGACGATTTGTAGGGGTAACAATATTTATTATGGTTCTATTTCTTTATATAAATTTCTATTGTCCGAATCGATCGTTCCTGGTTACTTGTTACGACTTCTTGGTCTTCTTCTGGCTTTTTTTCTGTTTGTTCAATAAAAACACTCACTGTGAATAACCTCTATTTTTCTATAAAAAAAAAAGCTTTACAATAGTAATATTGTATGACCAAAAATGCTTTAGAATAATTGAAATTTATGTCGAGAAATACCACCCCTATTATTATATTATTGTTGCCTTAATTAATTTTATGAAGTCTCAAATCAATTCGAGTTATGATAAAACTACGAGTTAAATATTTTAGTGCATATCGTCTGTAGTGTGAAAGGGCTACATGGAATTGCCTTTATTATAATTTTCTCTCATAGATATCTCCTAGTTAAGTTATATGAATTTTCATTCCTTTTAAAGATATTTCTTGTAGGATTTTATAGATAAATTTGGCATTTGACAACGAAATAATGTATAGTTTTAATTATTATATATAATAGAGTAAAATGTGTATTTATTGTGTTTATTATATGCTTTTTTGATTGCGGCTCGAACGAGGGCCGGTTTGTCCTCTCATTGCCGAATTATTTATGACGAGTTTCAAATGTTTTCTAAATTGAAGTTAGTGATTTATTGTATTAAGTCATTGTAATATTTTTTGGAGTAAATCCTGAGGAGTGCATTCATATCAAACGTAATTTAATAATGTATAGACATCACTTAGTAAATATCGAGAATTGGCCTGTTGATTTATTTATTTTACATCAAAAAACGCGGTGAGTCTTTTGAGTATTCTGTATTTGTCAGTAAACCATGTTGTCTATTATTTTATGAAAACACTACAATGATAGTCAAGTAGACAAGAATTGTAATTATTGTAAATAACTTGTTACTTACGTAATAGATTCGTCCAATTTTTATGTATGCAACACTGGTAAATTGTTGCATTGGAAAAGGCATTTATTTATTTAAGTTTTGGAATCTCAAATGTGTTTTGGTGAAACATTCGAAAGTGCCAAATTCTTCGATTTTATTGCGTTAACACATCATTCCAATAGACGATGATTAAAATATTGTAACTAAAGTTGAATTTGATTAAATTATTTGGACTGAATTTTGAAATAATTTTGTTTCATTTTTGTTTCTTCTTCCCACTATCAACAGCGCCGGTGCTGGCCGACGTAGCGTCTTAAGTACAACCAATACTCCAATTCCCTGGCGCCCTCTAGTAGGCACGCGATCAAAATAGAATACTTACAGTTCTATTTTTGCCAATGATTGGAAATTTGGATGCAAAAGGTGCAATTATAAGACTGCAAAGTGGACGACAGCGGGCGGCGGAGCGGTGGCGATAGAGATGTGCGTGGCGGTTTGCGCGACTTGATCAATATGCATAATATATTGAATTTGCATATTCTTGTTCAGTTTTTTTTTCTGCTTCGATAGGTCTGGTCTCATGTCTCTAAAATGAAAAATAAACTCTGAGCAGCATAATTTTTTTAACGCTCTTTTTCTGATTAAGGAATTTTAAAACGAGTTAACCCACATAAAATCCTACGTTTTTTGCGAAATGTGTTACATCAAGAACACGTAATTAAATTTTTCAGGGCGTCTGTTCAAAAAGAAGTCTGCTCAAATCCTGACTTGAGCATTGAGTAGAGTTCTGGAATACGACCCTAACAATGAAATTTTAAATAACAAATTACTACGGCCATCAGACGGTTCTAATAAATTGTAACCTAATCCAATGTGCAACAATCTTCCGCCGAGAATAATTTAACCAGATTCAATGCCTCAAACAAAAAAAGATATGCAATACGCCAAACTCAAAACTAGTCTCTACAAAAGTTTATGATCTGACGCCCACGTTTAGGAACCCTGAGAAAAATTTATTCAAAGCATCTACTGGTATGATCATAGAAAATGAGTACTTTCAAAAAGACCAATAATGCAGAAGCTGGTTGCAGTTCCTGGACCTAACCTTCAATTGACCAGTTACCACCCGAAAATATCAGTGATGTACAACCGAGTTGCAGTTCATGGAACTTAGAAGGTTTAATTTTAATATTCTTTTTTAATTTTGAAGTGTGCTTAATGGATGAATATAGTTTGGTTTTAATTTAAATTATAATCATGATAAAATGTTTCTATATTTTTACTATTTTCGATCATTACCTAGTGCCTACGAGGAATAGGGTTGGTTTAATTATTATTGAATTTATGCTAACATGTAATCATTTTAAATCTTTAATATGTAGTTAATCTTTTTCCTCGTAGGCAATAAACTAAAATAGAAAATACAAGAACAGAAAATGAAAACTAATAATCAAGAGTAAGATTAGTTGTTGATTATTATTTTATGGAATTTAAGGAATTTATAATTCATCAGTTCTAAGAACGATGTAATATGGCACATAAAGTGTCAATAATTTTGTTTTATTGTGTTAAATCTAAAATATTATAATTCGATTTGTTTCATTGTACATACCTACTCATAGTGACCAAAGTCTTTTTCACAAATAGTGGTTCTTTTTAATAATAAATATTTTAATAGCCATGTAAATTGCATGTGATTTTCACTAACACCATTTTAGTGTTACCTGCTTTGGTTTAAAAAATACTCTTAGCAGTATTGAATTTCGTACATCTTCAAGAAGTTAACACTTAAAAACCAAAAATGTGTTAAGGAGCTCTAATTCATTTACATCAATTTTAGAATACCGTACACAGACTATTAGATTGATACCGTAAATTGACGGCATTAGTCGCACCTTCATACAAATTAAATTGTCGTTTTTGCAATTTTTGTTTTGGCTCTAGTGAAAAGTTGAGTTTTTGAGTGTTACAGCATTATCGCTTTGTCGTGTCTTCGTATTTGGTTTTTTCAACGACTTTTTAACCGTAGCGCCATCTATGAGAAATGTTAAGTATTTCGTCTCCCAGTTAAATACCTTTACAGCTCCCAGCCCTAGTTAGAGATGTCGCTATTCATTTTATTGAAATTTTTACTGGATTGATATTGAATTGGAATAAGATATAGTGACAAAGATAGAGAAAGGGATGCTTAGATGGTTCGGACATGTAGAGAGAATGAATGAAAGAAGAGTGACGAAACAGATTTACAAGGCGAGTGTGAGCGGGCAAGTTGGTATGGGCCGACCAAGGAGAATTGATCATGACCAAATTGAGGCCATCCTAAAGAAGGGCCAGGTCAAGAGTACCCTTCACCGAGGAGCGTGTATGAAAGCATGGATGCGTGCTGATGAGGCGAAAGATGTGTGTCAGGACCGTAGCAAGTGGAAGACTGTTGTCTCTGCCTACCCCGATGGGAAAAAGGCGTGAAGTATATGTAAATTGATCGTTCTGACCCAAACTGACGGTTGCAATATTATCTATGTACCCAATTTGTTAGCACCTTATTTATAAATGTCTATGCAATCGATTACCAACTTTTGTGATGTGTTTCACAAGTTATTATCGCTTCTTGCCTGTGGATCACCCGACTGGTTCATCTCTGTAGATAACGAGCAATTATTTTATTTTGCTCCGTAGTTAGAGTGGAATTCCTTATCTGTGGACTTAAACCCGATCGCTATAACTTGGACCTTTTCAGGCGAGAGTGAATAGGCATTATTTATTATTATGATGTGCATGCTATATTGTCAACCTCATAATTATTTTCTATCAGGTGAGATGGAGGTCAAATGCGCACTAATTTTTTATATAAATAAAAAGAAGTTCGCCTATGTCCACCTGGATGGATCATAGGCATTTAATTCTTCCCCTAGCTCACCTATTTTCGCCTAGGGAGTTTTTTCTCGTGAGTCATCTAGTTATTAAAACTCCTTAACATTTCAATTACAAAGAGATTTTTATTATTTTTACTATTTTTATTACTCCTAAATCTTTACTATTCCACTATAATTAGTTGTGCGCCACACGTGAAGCGTGAAGTACTTACAGGTCCTAGTACTTCGCCTGATAATAATCTTGTACAGTCATGATTATAATAATTATGCTACATCTTAAGAGCTGTCAATAATATAATGGAACGCAAAATAAAATCTCATTGACTAGTCTAGTCTAACCACATTTCGATTGGATGGCTCCTGTACATGATTGTACTTACTGACAGTTGAAACACGAGGACCTTAAAGTAACCTTTGCTTCACCCAGGTGGAGAACCTAAGTGGAGCAGGAGTCCAAATATAGTTAGTTCTATTTAATTAGGTATAAATGTTTATAAGTAGCAGATATAAATTATAAAAGCCCAGGTTGTGTTTGTAATTCGTATATTTGTACATAAACTTAGAAAACTTATTGCTACAGGCAACTTATGTCTACAAAATTCAAAATAAATTCAGACACAAAATAATCACGAAAAATCTACGTACAAAATTAATGAATCCCTTTCCTTGATTTTACTACATTTATTCTTGTTAAATTCTCTAATCTGTCATCTCAATCTTTCGAGTTTAATGGGAACAAAACATTGGAATGAAACTATTTTTTAAGCTCTATGTGCAGCTTGAGATTAGATATAGATTCTATGTATCGAACCAATGGGAATAAAGATAAAAACATTAAATTTATTCCCACTAGTTCAATTATGGAACTTTTGGGTTACAATTGTTCCACGTGGAACTGAGTATATGGAACCACTGGGAATAAACCTATATCGTGTATATTAGTTTTTTTTTTGTCAAACAAATCAACGTTTCTTTTTACATGTCCAATCTCGAAAATCCAAGAGCTCGATATAAAGAAAAATACGTTTTTCATAATTTCTTTATAATAAATAGTAAAGTCAAATTCGCTTCTTGCCCTATTCGATTAAGAATAAATTAAGTAAAATGAAGTTAAAAATTAAGTAAACATTTAAAGCATTCTTGTATTGCCCAAAACAGCACTAAAACGTGCTTTTTATATTCAGCTACCTTCACACTAAGGTGACTGGATTATTACCACTGTAACGTGATTCGACCAGAAATATTCATATATAATATTTTGATACCTCTCACGTAAATGGTGTAAGCCACACGATTACACGTTCTGTTATAAGTGGCCAAAGGTGCATAATGAACATTGTTATCATAATTAAATATTTATTTAGGTTATGTCCATGAGTATATTTCACATTTTGTGACGGATATCATGTTATGGACAAGTTTTGTTTTGAAGCGAAGTGGCTAGGTTATTTTTGAACACTGCAGTGGTGGCATTACTATTTTTGACATTATAATGTATATGTTGTCACCCGAAAACAAAAATTTAATTTCCACCATGGCAAGGTTTCAAATCTGGCTTGTACGATTCATTAATTTCCTGCGATTTCGGTCTAATTTATAATAGTCCCCTTAATGTATCAGATAGATAATTAAAACTAATATAATAAATCTCCATTTTCCACTTCCAATGTCAAGGTGGGTTTACACATTTTTCTTACAAAATTTTAAAATAAATCTGAAATGAGGTAAATAACAGGTTAATGAAATAAATTCGTTTGTACATAGAATTAGAACGTTTGGTTAGTCGACTCCATAAATTTATTGTTAGCTAAGAATAGTTTCAAGGCACAAAACATTCGTACTATTATGTAAAATTTAAGTATGTGTAGGCGACACAAACGACGTACATTCTTGTTGCAATGGAGTCGTGTTGGCATTGTAGTAGAGTCGTCTTAGACAATACATGAGATTAACTTTCCCAATTGAACTTCTTTACCATTGACTGATATTTCATTATTAGGGAAGTTCAACTGTACTGACCTCGGAAGAAAAAAGGCACAAGTAGCATATTGAAAATTCGGAGATAAATCATTATTATAAACGATTATTATCCATTTGTTTAAAATTTATTTACCTTATTTAACTTAATAGAAAATAAATAAATATATATGTATTATTCTCTTTGAGCCTTTTTGTGTTATTTATGAAGTAATTATTGTAATTGGACTACATAGTAAAAGCACAGTTCCAGTACATTACTAAGTAAGATTTGATTTTTAAAGTGAAACATGATTATGGTAGCATTTCTCATAATTCATGTCAGTTGTGACTTTAGAACTTACTACGTACATCCAAAAATTATTGATGTAAGATTTCCACGAAAAATTAGGTATATTGGCATTTTTTCTGATCTTGATTAAGTACATAACTCAATTTTGATAAAATGATAGTTGTGCCTTTTTTGTTCTGAGGGCAAAGTATATATTTTGCAGTACTATATCTTTGGCGCATTCGATGTAGTATTAATGAAATATAAAAAATATAGACGAATTGAGAACCTCCTTTTTTTGAAATCGGTGCAAAATACGTCAAAATACGTCCCTCTGTGTCTGGCCCTACATCTTTACAGGAAAGCTTGTTTGGTGTCTTGAGATCAATGATGTTAAACTACATATAGCCTCCGACAGAGTCCCTCGCGCTTACAACATTACTATTCATTTACATTACAGCAACAATGTACAGATATTGACAAGTTTGCAAAGACAGCCTTGACAAGTTTAGAGATAGTCCTGACATTCAAGGCAAGAAATAATTACACACGCAATTTCGCTTGTTATCGAAAAAACTGAGGGAAACTCCTTTAGCAACACACGCATCCGCTACGCATACGAGTGTTTTATATAACTATGACAAAAACAGTGACAATTGACAGGCGTTGTATTAGGTGGCTTTATGTTTATAAATATAGGTAGGTATTGACGAAATCCACGCCGTAGACGGAAAGGCATAACAATCGTATGACTACCAACAATCAATTCGTATATATAACAGTGAACTATAACTTCACATCGGTTATTTGACCATTTAGTATTGACTAGTTAAGTTTCGCTAGAGTTCACGATCTATGTGTCATTTTGTATATAAGATAGCGGACACTCGACTTAGCTACTTTTGCCACAATGGAGTAGTAATGTTGTGGTCGCGCGATGACGTCACAGAGTGGTCCCTGTTTCGTGCGCGGGCGCACGTCACTCGTGGGGCATGTCCTCGGGCAGCAAGCACCACGTGTCGCTCTCCGCACGCGCTTGCTGCTTCTTCAGGCTACAGTAAAGTTTAATTAGCGAGTCCTAGAACAAAGTATACCATGTTACAACCTGGTGCCAATGCGGCGTACAGAACTTTTGTAACTATAATAGAATATTAGTCAGGAACCCAGTGCAGCTCGTTTGCAGTAGAAAAAATGGTAAAGAGGACGACGCAACCCTCTCCGGGCTCTTCCAGAGGCCCTCTGGAAGAGAAATTGCTGGAATCGAACCAGGCACATCTTCAAACAAGGCTAATTAAAAATTTAGTAAATAACAGAATTAAACGGGATTGTAAGAGAAACTACAGTAATTTATATTTCGTTTTAAAAATATTGCCATGTGATTTGAAAGCAAAGTATCAAATAGTATTAGACAATTATGGTAGTAATAAATATAAAATTCCAGTATGTAATAAATATAATACCAGAAGGGTTCGTGAAAACAAATTTGTACAACCTAAAGCCATCAATTACTATGGGCGTCGACTCAATAAATATGTAGTACCACGATTATACAACGAATTAGGGTTCTTGAGGAAAAGCCCATTAAGTAGTAAGCAAATAATTAAAGTTAAATTAAAAAAGGCGCTATTAAATGTTAAATGTAAATTAGAATAAGTTAGAATAAGTTGAAATGTAATCGTAAGCAAACTCACAATTCTCATTTGTACTTAGTTATATGTATATAATATGTATTACGATTTTCTTATAAGTATTTGTGTACGAGCGTGCTCGCCAACAAACTGTTCTCAGTTTGGCGGGGGTAAACAATTGTTTTATGTAAAATTTTATGAATAAATAAAAAAAAATAAAAAAAAATAAAACCCTCAAAATAAAAGTTTAAATTTTGTTTGTTGTAAAAAAAATTAAATATTGTTTCAAAACAAAAAATCGCGTTAATCACCTTCTCATTTTCGAGTTGTATGATTTCTCTCTTCTGCCGTAACTCCTCGTCGTCCATTTGCTCCTCCAGCTCCGACTTGTGCTTACTAAGGTATGCTAGCTCGGTTTGTATCTGAAAGGCCAACATCCAGGTTCAAAACACTGTATAGTAGTTTGTTTTTTGGCGAGTAGGTATTTACTAAGTGTTGCAAAAATATCATTACCACCTATGTAGTATAGTTAGTAGTTATATAGTTATAATTTAATTAACTTAATGTGTGTCTATCGGTGAGGACCTATAATTACCTCTCCATTACTATTTCAGTTTTTACTCTGTAAGATAGCCGTTGGTCTTCCAATAAGTTAAAATAAAATAGACAACTATAAGTTTGTACATTTTACGTCGCTTGTGTGGATCCTTAATATGTTGCTTTCGAGCAATTCTTTGCTCAAAACGATCCTAACCGGAATTTTTGAACACTAGAAACCATCTTGATATCGACGGCTCCACCGAATTAAAGCGTATTATCAAAACCCCAACTGTACAAGAAAAATAAAAAGAGTTAAAACTTTCAATAACTCTCCACCTGATGGATTTATTTTAAAAAATGCATGACGAAAATGATGGAAATATATCAAACTTTGTGTTACGTAGTAAATGAAATTTAAAATTTTTTAAAGCTGTATTTTTTATTATGTATAAATAATAATAATAATAATAACGCTCACAATCAACATAGCCCCGCACTAGGGAAACCCTGTGTCGCGGGTGCCATGGACACACATATAGACAACCACAAATTACACCCAAACTCACGAGAGAAATAAATGTAGGCTATACAAATATTTCTCCCGGCCCGGGAATCGAACCTGGGACCTCTGCGTGGCAGTCCGGCATGGTAACCGTTCGGCCACGGAGGCAGTGTGCATTTGATTTCCATTTCAACCGTCGAAAGTGACGACGAGGTCGACAACGAAGCATGCACACTTAAGTAATGCTTATACAATCTCGTTACGAAAAGGCCCTAGTTATAGTGACCGGGAATAAGATATTACACTCCATGTGGAAGCGTAATCCTTCTTTTTTTTTAACGCTCACACTCATTACCAAGGGAACCCAGTATCGTGGTGCGTGTCATGGAGACAAACATAGACAACTACAAATTATATACAGTGCTTCTATTTTCTCAATGTCCTTCGGCAATCATCGGATTTCCGAATGCACTCGAATATTAATTTCTATTCTCATTAATTATTAGATTTATAATCTATAATAATTAGAATTTTACGTTGTTCACAACGTAATTTATTGTTGTTTTATTTTCATTTCCATGTCTACATAGAGTTGTAAAACTATTTCCATATTTTTAATAACATGTACTTCATGTCAATAAGCAAGTTAACAAATATATCCAGTAAATAAAGTGCTTCTTTTATATAACTAAAAATGAATATTTTTTTATTATTAATCCTTTCGCTTCAAGCCGTATCTAAACGCATTTCTTCATGTGACAGTTATGTTAATAATAATAATTTATGTGGCGTGTCGCTTCCAGGACAAATGCACAAGGCGGTCCTGCTCGATATGGCACGAATTGTTCGCCGATTCTTGGACCTGACTCCCTGACCCCGGCCGACTGTGCCATTGCCGGAAAATACCACCTCTCCCATTTAAAAATTCAAAATTAATCTTTTAGGCCTTGGGAGAGGCGAGAGTTTAAAATAAATATAATAATAATAAAGCACACACTCAACGTAGCCCCGCTAGGGAAACCCTGTGTCGCGGGTGCCATGGACACACACACACAGACAACCACAAATTACACCCAAATTCACGAGAAATAAATGTAGGCCATACAAATATTTCTCCCGGCCCGGGAATCGAACCTGGGACCTCTGCGTGGTAGTCCTGTATGGTAACCTTTTGGCCACGGAGGCAGTTAATGAAAAGTGGACGACGGAATTAAATCGTGCAATTCCATCGCACACTCTCTGTGATATATCCCATTGAATGCCGATATATGTTTATGTATATACACTCCCGGACACAATTCGAGTCGCCACGCATTTTCAGTATTAAGTGCCCTAAGCTTAAACAATGTTTGATTGATCAAAAACTATTATGCAATTATAATAGAAATAGAAATCATTTATTCCTTGGATAATCAATACAGTACACAACACACACACAATTTTGAAACTAGTATGCTAAACGTCTTTTCCATAAGTCCTTGTTGGGAATTTGGATTTACAAAACCGGGGGAAAACTTTTCCTTCGATGATTACATTTTTTGTATTCCAACTCTTTACGACAAAAATGCGAGGTGGCTCGAATTGTATCCGGGAATACTCCCTTTATGTTTTCTTTTGAGCTACATTAAAACAGACTATCTTGAAAAAAAAGTCAAAAAAATTTGCCTTTATTCGGGGGAACGTCTATAAATGTCAAGGTGGGTCTGTGATAGATCGACTCATCCGAAGAAAAGAGTCCGATGTGATTATATAGCGAAAAGAGAATAAGTACGTTACGAGAACCATTTCTTTATTCAAACTAAGGCAAAGGTGCTTTGAGAATTTATATATCTTATTTCGTTTCGGAAATATAAAATCGAACAACGGTCAATCTGACATCCACAGCGATGAAGAACGAACAAAATGTACTGTCCTGAGAACAAGTACCTAGTCTTGCACATAGACCTTTGTTCTACGGATGAGTCGAGATATTCTTACACCTTGGTGTTTTGAGTGGAAGCAACAAAATGTTACCGAACATTATAAATCCCGATTCTGGGGCACGTTTACAGTTAAACCAAATTATGATATCATCTGCAATGTTGCTACCAAACAATTACACAGACGTCATAACAAGCAACAAAATAGACGCAGTATTTTCAAACCTGTCGTGCGCTACAAGACCAGAATAGCAGTATGTGTATTTAAAATAGGTGGACAGCTATCGTGGATCACATGGTTTGTTTGACGCGGCTTTGTAAAGGCTCGTGATAGAACTTAATTTTTTTTTGACAGTGGAATAGTATTTCTTATCTCAATAATGTCGATACATCGGAGAGTGTAAGAGTCAATTTTATCGACAAATAGTTGATTAATGTAATCGAGTTCATTTTTTTGCCTTATCATCTAATATATCTATTAACTGTCTCTGTGTAAATATATCTATTAACGGTTACCATGCTGGTCTGCCGTGCAGAGGTCCCGGGTTTGATTCCCGGGCCGGGAGAAATATTTGTATTGCCTACATTTACTTTATCCGTGAGTTTGGGTGTAGGTAATTTGTGGTGTTCTGTGTATGTGTGTGTGTGTCCATGACACCCGCAACACCGGGTTTCTAGTACGGGGCTATGAGTGTGTGCGTTATTATTATTATCTACTTATACTTCGATAAAACTAGCTTTATTACAATGCCTTCCTTGTCGTAAATAAAATATTTGCGTCTCGGTAACTTTCGAGTTATTGGCACCGAAAGTTTTTTTTTTCTAATAAAAAATGACAAATATGCTGATTTTTCTTAAGAATAAAAATGAAACTAAATAAGATATTAGAAACCGATTAGAGGGGGTTGTATATTTCGTTGTGCTTACCCCAGACACTTTAATAACCTCAATTGCGATAAAATTTTGATTACGTTCGTATCATAAGCACAGCACATAAACATAGGTACGAAAAGGAATAAGATATAAACAATAATACATTATTGTTTTGCATTAGTTTTGTAAACTTTTGTAATTTGGCGTTTCCGCCCTTTCTTCTCTAAAGTATCGATGTATCTGCATAAAGGAGATTTTTAGAACAGTGTCATGGTAACTATGGGATCGCTAAGTACCGCAAAGAGTTTTTAACTACCAAAAATGAACAGCATATCTTTTTTTGCAATGTGCTGTTGGTTTCCGGGACATGGTTGAACTTGATCAATATTCTGCCTGTGTTATTCCCTCTACAATGACATCGAATGCTTCGCGTACTGACTGGAATGAAACCGGCTATGTTGTTCAGTCGATGTTGGCATCGGCAGCTAGTGTCGTTCAATCTCGCGAAAACTCAACTTTCCAAAAAATAAAATAATTTTCTTATTACCACTTCTATCGTCATTTCTTATATCTAGTGTGTATTCATACAAGAAGTGAAGAACAAAACTTCATGCCATTGTGTGTCCCTGCACACTAGTGTTAATAGAATATTGACGCCGCTGCCGTCGTAAAGGATGGAACGTGTGAGTGAGCACTTGGAGATTACTGCCTCCGTGGCCGAACAGGGTTATCAAGCTGGACTGCCACGCAGAGGTCCTGGCTTCGATTTCCGTGCCGGAAGAAAGATTTATATGGCTTACATTTATTTGTCTCGTGAGTTTGGTTGTAATTTGTGGATGTCCATGTGTGTCCATGGCACCCGCAATACAGGAATTCCCTAGTGCGGGGCTTTTCTTTTAAAAAAAAAGAAATGATCATTTAGGAGAGAATATCACAGACAAAGAATAACCATAAGCGCCATAATACAGTACACTCATAGCCGCGTGTCTCGGCCTCTTTACGCCACAGAACTACTTGAGGTATTCCTGTGAATCCTGAGTCAGTCCGTCCGAAACAATTACTGTCAAATAAGTAATATTCGACAAAATTAAAAACAAGTATC